AACCGCAGGGAGGGAAGGAGAAGAATAGCCCAGGGGTAATTTGATCTCTTGCATAGGCAATTTGTAGCCTAATTTTGTAAATTATCACAAACTCTTTACTTATGGGATATGCAAAAATGATGCTATAATGTTCCAGTTTTTAAAATCACATTTGTTTTATTAATTAATTAATTTGTGTGTGTGTGTGTGTGTGTGTGTGCGCGCGCGCGCGCATCAGAGGACAACTTGTGGAAGTTGGCTTTCTCCTTCCCCCTGAAGAGCCAACTCAGATTGTCAGGCGTGGCAGTAAGCGCGTGTTGCACGTACATGCACGCACAGGGAAAGAGCTTAGGGCAAAACTGCACTGATCATAGTAGGTCAAGAAGGCAAGCAGGCTAGGCATGTTGGCTTCTCCACCAAGCCAAGTTGCTGGGGAGGGACAGTAGCCAGGCCATCACCTCCTGGGGCGTGAAAACACGTGCATCGTAGAAATGAGGAGGAGAGCTAGCAGAACAGGGGCAGGGAGCCCATTCACACTGGAGACCTTGGCACCCACCCTGAGTGCGGTAGGATAATCGTCAGGGCCGGGAACTGAGCGGAGTGTGGAGGAGTGAGGGCTGTGATGAACAGAGCAGCTCTTCTCCTCCCTGCACACCTTTCAATGGAAACCTTGGTCGCCCCCGTCAGTAGGTGTTTTCCTGTTTATTATGACACAGACCGGGTAATTATAAACAATAATTTACTGGGCTTGAGGCTCTGAAGGCTGGGACAGCCACTATCAAGCCAGTGGCATCTGAGAGAGCCTTCCTTTTGCATGGAGGGGAGGCATCATGTGGGAAAGCGTACCCCAGAGATGGAAGAAGAGCAGGGGCCGTGCTCTCCCACATAACTCTCAGTCTTAACTCATGAAGAGAGTGTCCCTAAAACCCAATGACCACGTGGCAGTCCCGCTTCTCAGCACTTTGCATCAGGGATTATATTCTCAACATGAGTGTTGAGGGGACGTTCGGATCAGAGCAGTGGAGAAGCAGCAGCATGACACAGCTGTCACTCCAAGATGGTCACAGGTTCAGCTGCTGGATTCTCTATTGATGAGTAGCCTCTCTCTCTCTCTCTCTGACTCTCTCTCTCTCACACTCACATGCATGTGTGTGTGTGTACAAATAGGCTTGTATGCATGTAGAAATCAAAGGTTTGTGTTTTGATGTATCCCTCAAAATGCCATCCACCTTGTATGTAATCTATCTTGTGTTTTGTTTGATTGTTTTGTTGTTGTTGTTTTTTTTTTTCCTTTTTTGAAACAGGGTCTCTCACTTTTGCCTGGAAAATTCACTGATTCATCTCAACCTGTGGGTCACAATCTCTTTGGGGGTTGAATGGCCCTTTCACAGGGATTGCCTAAGACCATCAGCAAACATAGATATTTACATTAGGATTCATACCAGTAGCAAAATTACAGTTATGAAGTAGCAGCAACAATAACGTTCTGGTTGAGGGGTCACCGTAACTTGAGGAGCTGTATTAAAGGGTCACGGCATTAGGAAGGTTGAGAACCAGTGCTCTAGATTGACTCGCTAGTAAGGATCTGCCTTTCCCTGCTTCCAAAGCTCAGAAATTATAACTGGCTGCCATCACTCTCCTCTCCCTCTCTCTTGACTTAAATTCTGAGGATTAGACTGGACTCATACTTGTATAGCCACTACTGAGATGTCTTCTCAGCCCAGGATTTTATTTTCGTTTTGTAGGCTGTGGATGCCTCTGTCTCGGTCTCGGCCTCCATCAGCAGAACAAGCTGGCAGACATCTTTACCTGTTGTTGCTCTGGAGCTCCTAAGAGAAGGGCTTGGGAGAACACAGGATCAAGTCTGCGCACAGCCCGGGGCATTTGTTGAGGACAGAAAGGTGAAGGGGGAGCAGAGCTCAGGACGTGAGTCACCCTGGGAAAATAGCTGGAGCAAACACTGTGTGTACTCTCTGGGGGTTGAGGCCAGGAGGCAGGCTGACACCAGGGAGGAGAAGGCACTGTTAGTAGCTTTGTCATGGTTTCGCTACAGAAAAAGTCACTGAGGATCAGTGACCCTCCCCTCCTGGCTCGATCCTTCCATCCGAAGCACAGGCCTGCACTTTCCTCTCTGGATTGCTGCTGAACACTTCCTATAATTGGCTCACGGAAAATGAATAGCTGAAGGTATGCAGCTGGCCACGGCACGACCTCATATTTCAAAACCAGCCAGACCTCTTCATAAACACTCCTTCCCAGGGTGTGAAATCAATCATGTCACGGCTGGGACTCCTGCTGCACAGGGGACAGATGTCTCATCTTACTCCAGAAAAGTAACCAGTGAATTCCCTGAACCTCCCCGATTGCCATGGTACCCTGTACCGGCCAGCTTCCAGTGGGCCCTTCTCCAAGGCACTTCCTCTTGATTAGCAGCTTGCTCTGACAAGGATACAAAGACCCAGGATCCTGCGGGCAGAATGAGATGCATCAGCAGCCACCTCTTACAAGGGCAGCAGGTGAGTGACACTGGGCCTAGTGTTAATGGAACTGCAGAAAAAAAAAAAAAATCATGGGGACCCAGGGGCCACAGGCCCCATAAGATGCTTCCTGAGGTCCACAGGATGAGCTGTCTTGATCTTTGCTTTTCTTTGTGAGGTCAAAAACAAAGCTTGTCCCTAAGTGTAGTTTAGAGCCCTGTCTTACCCCAGAGCAATGCCCCAGGTTCTGAAGGAACACTGGGAGGAGAAAGGTCTCTCCTGGGTAAATATATCCGGGACGTTCCTTAATCTCATTTTAAGTTTTCCCCATAGAAGTGTGGTCCTGTGGAGGGTCACCATAAACGGAACAACAGGTCAACCAGGAAATGAGTGTCTCTGGAACATTCTATGGAACTATGTAAAAGGTCAACAGAGAAGAAAGCATATAGACTAGTGCCCCGGAAGGCCAGAGCTCTTAGCTTATCTAGAAGGGAGGCCCTGCTGTCTAACTCACAGGAGGATTTCAACATGGACTTTAAACATTGCTGAAATAATTATGGCCTTTAGGAGATATCAGATGAGGGGCTGGCGAGATGGCTTAGCAGGTAGCCACCTGCTGCCATGTCCGGAGCCCACATGACGGGAAGAAAAAAACAGACTCCCGAAACTCGTCCTCCAATCTCCGAATGTACAGAGGGTAACATTCAGGCTTGCCCCACTCCATGCACACAAGTAAAATTGATGTCAAGAGATGTTTATTTAAAGAAATACCTAATAATGGAGAGGACAGGATGAGCCAAAAAACTTTGACACACACAAAAAAAGGCATACATTTAAACAGGGCTGAAGGAAGATGCATAATTCCATTCCCATTTTCCTGCCTCTTTAATTAGATATTTTTAGTAATACAGAAAAGCCGAGAAAAATATAAAAAGTGAGTCCTCAGAAATTCTAAGGTGTGCCCTTTTTGCTTTATCTTTCCCCTGAAATACTTTGTTGTTAGTTTTCTGTTACTATAACAAAATATCCAAGAGAAACAACTATAAAGAGAAAAGGTTTGTGTGGGCTCAACATCTTTGGAGTTCCAGTTTGTGATGGATTTGACCCTGTTGCTCTGTGCCTGGGGTGGGCAGCCCATCCTGATGTGAGATACGTGAAAGAAAAGAAAAAAGGAATGAAAAGGAGTGGGCTCCAAACAAGAGCAGATTTTAAAGAAAAATCCCACTGATTCCATGGTTCCCATCCATAAATATTTCAGAATGTACGCAATATGAGATACACACTTGTATAAACCTTAAAAAAAAAAAAGACAGAAAGAAAGGGGGGAACCCCAAAATTTTAAAAAGAATCTTTCGTCTGAAACAGAATGGAAAGGAAAAGCAAAGGGTGGGTGCAGCCTTAGGGAGGCCATGCCTGGAAGCTTTGGTTTGTGGCCCTTAGGAGCTGCCCTTCTCCAACTTTGGGAAGCCTGGGGAGGGTCTCTGACTTCACTTCCTCCCCAGGCTTCTGTGAGAGGCTTTGTTGAGGAATCTCTTAACTGGATTCCCCTTTTGTGCAGTAGCTAGCCGGAACTGGTTTTTCACTGCTGTGGCCAAGGGAGCTTTCACTGCAGCTGTCATCACACCGTGGTCTACCATCCACGGGTAAGCCCAGTGCTCTCCTTCCCAGTGGAGAAAAGCTGTCAGACCCAGCCAGGCGGGGCAAGCCCACCGTCGCCCTGGAAACCAGCTCGGCCCTGGCTTCATCCTTTCTTCTCTCACTTAATATCTTGAGGCCTTCGGTTTCCTCACCTGTAAGGGAGAAATAATAAACTCAGCCCGAACTGAGTGACGGTGAGGTCACGCTGTGGGGAAGTGCTTTGTAAGCAGAAACTGCTCACAATGAAAGGTCTTACTGTCTTTTCTAGCTGGGATTCCATTCTGCCTCCCTCAGCGTTTGGCCTGGGAAGTGTGTGGGGGCACAGTGGTTCTGAGCTGCCTACTTGTTTGTTTACATTTTCACCACTAGTTTTCGATTAGTGCCTCCTTTGGAGATTCATTGTCCACTAGAAGTTATCAGAAAGCCAAACCGATTCTTGTCTCTGGAACTGAGTTCTTCTCCATCTGGCTCCTTGGGTGCCCAGGATGTTGACCAGGATGTACCTATCCCTCTGATGATGGCGTGGAGGAAGTGGCCTGATTCATCCACTCACCCTACTGCTTAAGGGGCCTGGGGGTTTCGGAGTGGTGGAACGAGCAGGAGAAATACGTCACTGTGAACCTCAGCAAGGCTCAGCTGTCCACCTGGGAGGTCGCCGTGTTGGCAAGAAGCGTGTGGGTGTCCTGGTGCCTGAGTCATGGGTAGCTTACACTTTCCCATGACTTCAAAGCTCAACATGCACAGGACACGGCTCCCTGTTCGGTGCCCTTAGGCTACTCTGGAGAGGGCGAAGTGAGGTACCCAAGATAGAAGTTGGCTGAGTGGATAAACCCGCACCCGAGGACACTCATCTAGTTGAGCAGACTGGGACATCAGCTCATGGCATGACTACTAAGGAACCTGAGCGGGGTTGGGGGAAGGCATTACATCATCACTCTTATTGTTATTCACTTATCAGATGATTATTAATTATACTTCAGTGAAAGGCTTGCACTCATTATGAGCATGAGCTCATTAGGCTGTACAAGGCCCAGAGGAGGACAAGGACCAGCCGACAGCAGTTCTCTCTTGAGCAAGCTTGAGGCTCGGGAAGCCTGCCATCTGGCCACCTGCCTTTCTCTGTCTGGCCAGCGGCTACTTCTCTTTTTGGGTAAGAAGGCAATTCAGCCCATGTATAGTGGACAAGGCACATCTCCCACCCTGATAGCTGGAGTTTGCAGCTCTTCCTTTAGGTTCATGGGCTCAAAAAAGATCAAAGAAGAAGGAAGAGAGCATCATGGGAGTCCAAGGAGCAGCAGTAGGTAGGTGAGTGTTATTTTTCTAATTTATTTTTTTTATTATATTTGTGTTTATTTGCTATGTACACGCGTGTGCATGTTCGTGTGTGTGCCTGTGTGTGTGCATGAGTGTGGAGGTCAGACATCAGTGCTGGCAGCCATTTTGTAGTTACTATTCCCTTCGTTTTCTGAGACAGGGCCTCTTGCTGGAGCTCACCGATTCAACTAAGCTGGCTTGGCCAGCATGCCCCAGGCCTCTTTCCATCTCTACTTCTCTGCTGTTGCTGTGGTGACAAGTACACACGGCCACATCTGGCCTTTCATGTGGATGCTGGGCTGCTCAGGACCACCTCGAGTCCTCGAGCAGTGTTTCATGGGCTTCACCAACTGGGCCATCTCCCCAGAGCCAGGATATGAATTTTAATGGTGTCCCGTGGATAGTTGATATTTCTGACTGGCAGGGGCAATGGGGAAGGGGCTTGCTGAGGTCACAGAGCTGGCCTGGACTGAGACAGGAAGGGTGGGCAAGGTGCCCAAAGGCTCAGCTGCTGAGGGGGATTTTACAGATTGTCAGACCACAGTGGAAGGCAGATCGGAGCTAAGAGGATGATGGGTAGGTGATGGATGGGACCATGCCTTGACCTGCTTAGCTGTGCAAACCTCTTGCCTTGTATTTAAACCTAAATGTAAGGACCCAGTGTGTAAGATCTTCCTGTTAGGACCCTGAAGATGGACTTGGAGGTCGGGGGCGCTGGACCTCCATGTTCATCTTCCTGATGTGGCCACGCTGAATTCACCTTTTTGCTGCTTCTCACCATTGCTTGGGCTGTGGCACACAGAGAGCAGGTCTGCCTTGTTAGGGTTGCTGGGGTGGGGCTGGGACTCTAAACGTTCTAGTGGTGCCTTACTGAACAAGATGAGCAATCCCACAGCAGCCACACCAGCCTCACCACAAAGTTAATAAAACCTGAAGGCAGTGGAAAAGAAGCAAAGCAGAAACCTCAGGCAATAAGGGGCTTATCTCAAAAGAAATCAGAAGTTAGTTGAAAGCACTGCCTGCTGAAAGGCCCTTGAGAGAGGCAACCAAGTAAAGCCCCAGTTAGTTGCCCTGTGTTGGTGAGTCAGGGGCCTTGTCCTATCAAGGTCGGGCTTTGCTGTAGGGAGGTAGGGGGTCCCTACCTTCTTCCACACTCCTTACTCAGTGAGGCTTGTAGTGATGTAATCTTGGAGAGACAAATCCCAGTTTCCTCAGCTCTGGAGCTGATAAACACCAGCCCCCAAACCGGCACCACTCACAGGCCATGATTAGCATGCTCTGGAATCCAGTTAGCAATGTGGTCAAAGGCACAAGGACAAACTCATTTCCCAGTGCTATTGTGAGCAGCCGGAAGCACCTCTCGTTGGAGTTTAACCCAGCGCAATCAGCGTTATCTCCGTTCACGTCTTTATGGATTCAGCTAGACCACAGCAGCACCTGGCCAGCCTGACCTCTGTCTACTGCTGCTCAGAAGCCCCAGGCATGCCATTCATGGCAAATTCCAGAGAGGCAAGACTCAGCAAAAGGCACAGTGATGTACTTCTTACTGGTTAAGAATGGAAGGCTCTCATTCTCCCAAATTATGTGATTCAACATTGAAATGGTTGAGCTTTAAGAAAAAAAAAAATGCTAGTGGAAACAACTGACTTTTCTAATCAATGACACATGTACGTTAACAGGAATAGTCTCACACACACATACAAAGATAAAGATTTCATACAGAAAATTCAATTCAATGCATTGATGGTCCTCTGCGCATATAAGTGTAATATAGGTTTGCACAAATGCTTTCACTTACAATTGTTTGAATGAATTAAGTACATTAAAAATATAAATTTGAATCAAATATTTGTAGAAATCCATGCTCCCAAAATAGGTGAAGTTTGGATTTGGAACAGAGGAGAACAAGGAGAGGTAATTCAATGGTGAAGGAAAAGGTGTGAGGTCATAGAGGACTTTACATTTAACATTAGAGAGCTTGAATTGGCCAAAGGGACATAATCAGGATTGCATCTTAGAATAGTCACAGCTGCAGTGTGAATGATGGATCTGGGCAGGGTGAAGGGGAGGACGAGGAGGAGGGAGGCAGACCGATCATTAGGATGTGTCAAGACACTTGTAGGTGAGAGATGATGTAGCCAGAACTAAAGCCACAGCTCTGTAGCAGGAAAGTGAAAGGGTCAACCAAGAGAGGCAGAGGGGCCACAGGGTAAGGCTATTGATCAGATGGGCTGGAGGGACTGAGGACAAAGGAAAAGTGATGCCAGGGACAGTGAAGTCGATGGAGTTCCCCTTACCAGGGCAGGAGATGTTGACTAGGAGTGTAGGACACAGATGCTGAGCTAACACACCTTGAGTCTAGATTTGAACCCTTACAAAGAAGCTCAAGTCAAAAACACATTAACTCAGTACAGCACATAGTAACGGGTAAGCAGCTGGTGTGTGGTGGCACACGCCTTTAATCCCAGTGCTCTGGGAGGCAGAGGCAGTAGGAGTTCAAGGCCAGCCTGGTCTACAGGCTAGTCCTAGGGCAGCCAGGGTGAGGGAGAAAACCTGTCTGGAAAAACAAAGCAAAACAAACAAGCAAAAACAACACAAAACAAACAAACAAAAGTGAAAGAAAGAAAGAAACAGACCTGTTCTTCATTGGAGCCTACTGCGCTTGCCAACAACCAACCCAATTGTAAATGGGGCTATCAATGCTTTAAGGAAGGCATGCAGCTTTGGGAAAACAGGAGGAGATATCTGATGATATTCTATATTTCCTGGAGGATGAAAGTGACTGTTTAGGGAGTGGCTGGTTTCAGGGAGCTGGAAAGAGAAGAAAACATGCAGGATAACTCCAGCATGGAGTGCAGGAGAGGGATTTGACAGGAGGCTGCGAACACTGGAGAGACAACCCAGGCAGGTCAGGTGGGCGACATCTATTGGTTGGTAGATAGTGCCATGCACTCACCATATGGTAAGCTCTGTGTGTGTTGACTTCACAGGCTGTGTGCCCGCTGGATGAGGCGAGCCAGGAATCTTCATTTACAAGTTTGCTCCTGGAAAACATAGACAAAAAAAAAACCAAACCACAAAACAAGGAAAATGTCTTTATGTTGTCCTCAGCTACAAAGTGTTCTTGGAAACCTAATAAAATTGCATAGATCCTGCAGAGACAAGGTTTATAGAGCCAACTGAGAGACCAGTCTCAAATTCCATCCAGGAATAAGGATGAGGGCAATTTCCTCCTAAACTCCTGGCATCTTCACCAACCAAAGCATCAGAAAACACCCACCCCTTGGAATCGATTCTGGATTCTCCCGGGATTCCAGGCCAAGGTTCAATTAAGGCTACATTTGTCTTACACTGTATTACTTTTAGGACAACATTATTGTATTACATGTTTGAATTCCACTGAAGTTAGGTCGGCCGGTGAGAGAAATCAGAATATTAAATACCCAGTTTATTCGCCTCTTAAGGCACATTGCAATAACGGACTATTGCTGTTACCTTGGATGTGCAGTTGCTTCGTGCATTTGCATTCCCTGCCTGGCCTGCTTAGTCATTTGAACTTCTGTGATCTAAGTGTTTGGTTTTTGCAACCTTCCCAGGAGACCCACGAGAGAGTGGTATAAAGCTGCTGCCCTTGTCTGCGCCCAGGACTTGACATCTCGCAGTTTTAATGATTACTCATTCCCGCACGGACCATCTGGGATTATCAGGGTTACCTGGATTAGCAAGGTTACTAGCTTTATCCTTCTAGGAAACCTACAATCTTCTTGAGTACAGAGATCACAATATATATATTTATTTGTGTGTGTGCATGTGTATATATGTGTATATATATTTTTATATATATACACATGTATATATATGTATATGTATACATGTATACATGTATATACACGTGTATATATGTGTATATATATTTTTAAAAGAATTCATAGAATACCTGGTTCCACTCCTTTCCATAGTAACACTTCAGCAATGATGCAATACAATACTGCTGATGTAGGTTCATCTGTCCTAGCAAATGCACAGCTCTGATATGGGCTTGCTGATGTGTGTTTAGACATGGTCTCAGTGTGTAGTCCTGGTTGGCCTATAACTCGCCATATAGACCAGGCTGGCCTCGAACCCATAGAGATCTGTCTGCTTCTGCCTCTTCTTTGCTGGAATTACAGGCATGTCCTGCCATGCCCAGCTGACTGGGATGCCCAGCCTCTTGTGGGCTTGTGATGGGAAGAAAGTGCATAGAATAGCTTTGCACCCTCCTCTCGATTTGTCTGTGACCCTAAAGTCTCTTTTAAAACCCTCTGAATTGTTCTTTGGGATACTGCATGGCATCTACCGAGAACTCACTTTCTTACTAGCCAATCTGTCCTCTAAGTGCCTCAGGGCATTTGTTCTCTTTGATCTTTATAAGGCAATGCTAGTTATTATTAGACCTGATATATATATATATATATATATAATGATATACATATATCATTATATGTTGATCTTGATTTTTTAACAAACCTACTTTATTTAAGGTTATTAAATGCTTCTATCTCCCTTCCAACCCCCCAACCCTGGGTAGGAAGGAAAGAAGGTTAGTGGGGACAGAGAGCAGAGTTCTCTCTGCTACTTTCCCGCTGGGTGGGGTCGTAGGATTCCTTTGGAAGCAATACCAATATCAGTCGTCCAGAAATCCAGAAGTCCAGGTAGCCAGCAGATCGGCAAGCAGCAAATGCAGCAGCAGGACGACCCAGCATCGAGCAGTCCTCCTCAAAGCAGCTGTGCCTTCTTCCTCTGGGCTGTCATGTTTATACCCCTCAAAGTCCTCAGAATTCAACTAATTCTACCTGGCAAAGATCACACCCTGCGGTGAGACACTTAACAGGTGTGGACATACTAAACCCACCCCAACTTGAAATTTTAACAAAAACATGTTTACATATCATAAACCAAAGCAGCCACAACAATTACATGTTATACCCGTTAAATAAGGACAATTACAAAGA